TAATAGCTTCTAAAACTAATGGTGGTGTCCAGTGGAAAGCTGGTGACTTTGTTGTTGTTGTTGTTGGTTTTGGATGGGATCACAGAGTAGGCATCCAGAAAGAAATCTTGGTAACCTATTCAGGTTTGTGTTACAGGAAACCAAACAGTCCTAATATCAATACTCTGGTATTCTGCTTTCATCTGAATTCCATATCCTTCATGTTTTTGTTTGTAAATTTGTTTCTTGCAATTTCTTAAGTACTACCTATGCACAATATTCCTGTCATTCCTTTTGCTGCAGTATCCAGGGTGCTCTAGTTACTTCAAGTTCCCGAGTTGTTGATAGCTTGGATTTAATTATCTTTGCATGTATGCAATAACTTATTTCAGTACATAATTCCAAACCATCCTTTTCAGTACTGTTTTTCATAGAGTTGTTCCTTTGAACATGCAAGCCTTATCTGCAGCTTATCACTCTGCAAATTTAACTGTAAAAAAGGTTTCCTCTGCAGCCTTCCAAATAACTTTGGTAGTGCTGATAACAGCTTTCTCCTTTCAAAAAGTGGTTCTGACACATTGCTTGCCCAGTTGGGTGTTACAGCTTTGTTTAATGTCTTATCTCTTCCCTTGTGATGGTGTTATATTTGAATATTTGTTTTCATGATGGCTTTTTCAAATCAAGATCATAATTCTGTGAGTAAAAGTGCTACAGTGAACAGAAGTTTCTGAAAGAATGTGATGGAAGAACATAGTTTTAATTCAAATCTTGCCCACCTCTTGCAGGATTTTTTTTTTTAACCACTTCCATGGGGAAAAGGGATCTTACAAACAATCAGGGATCAGTGCTTACTGATTCCATTGTATCTTTCAAAAGAATGGGAGATTCTTTTTTTGTGGGAGATTCTGTGATGTTCAGAGTCCTAGTTTAATCCTGGACTTACTGAAGAAAATGATTTTGTCTGTTTGTCCATAATGAAATAGTATGATCTTTCATGAAAGACATGTAAATTTCCACTAGCCAAAAGAATTACTAGATTGACTTTAAACAACCATCTGTGCACTGCATTAGATAACTTCCTGGCTAATATAACAGCAGTCCAACAACTTCCTTATTTATATGTTTTTAGTGATTATTCCCAGGATCGAACGTACTCTTTCTTATATCATCACAGAACTGGATGAACGAGAACGAGAGGAATTCTACAGGTAAATATCTAAAACAAGACTAGACTGGTCTCTTTTTCTCAAATAGACCACTCCTCAGAAGGGACTTAAGAGAACTCTTCACCAAATCTGGCACTGAACACTGTTAAAACATGACCTGGTTCCTTCTTACTGCATACTGAATTTTCAGAGCTGGGCACCTGGAGATCTGCAATTACTTGTCTGAAAGTTACAAATGGATCCCTACCACTAGGTTGTACTATGCTATAATGCAGTGTTTAAGGCCAAGAATCTAATTTATAGTTCGGATGAAGAAATGTGTTAATTTGTAGAGATGATGTTTTTCAATGGCAGCAGCTAGCGATAAAAAGCCTTCTGCCATTTGTTACAGGATCTTCATTTCCTGGGGAACTTCTCCAGGCAGCTTTACCATATTCAAGTTTTATGGCATCTTTGCTGCTAGCCTGTTTTATGAAAACATACTTATTTCACAGATAAACCACATTTCTCTTCACAGGTTAAAGAAGATCCAGGAAAAGAAAAAAGTCTTGAAAGAAAAATCTGAGAAAGAACGGGAGCTGCGGAGGGCTGCTGGTGGGGAACGTGAACCAGCCAATCTCTTAGCAGAAGAGAAGGATGAAGACCTTCTCTTTGAGTAACGCAGCAGAGTTGTATATGGAGCAGAGGATCCAGAATACAGAATGTCCAGTTGCAGTATCATCCAGGACATGTTGCCTCAATGATACTTATGTGGCTTCTCAGTTGGTGTATAAGTCTTGAGTTGAATGGATTGTGGATTTCTCCTGGGAGATTAGAAATCTGGGAACTTGACTGCAGCATAGCAGGAAAAGGAAAGATGATTCAGGTGCTTAACTATCAGGAAAGCCTTCTTATTGTATGCTCAGCCTGTTTCTTCACTTAGTAGGAATGACTGTCCATAGCTGTGGTTTTTGAGGATGACTCTGGATTTGCCTAATCAGATTCCTCTTAATTGCTCCCCTTCCTAGCACAAGCAGAGGAAAATGTTATTTAGGGAGGGAGATGCATGTAATGTTCTTTACTGCTGAAATATTAATGTTCACATTGCTTAAAGCAGGTGTTGGCACAGCTGAAGTCAAATGTCAGTAAAGGCAACTCTAGTTTTCTAACCTGTTGATGAAATCCACAGTCTTCTGTGATTCATTTTTGTTGCACGATTGTTACCATTGGCCTAAGACATCTATGAGTTCTAATTAGAGGTTCTGCCAACTTGTGTACTGTGTGTGTGCTAGAAACAAGTAAAAAAATTAAATGTTAAGTATCTATCTGGTGTCTGGCTCAAGTTGCTAGAAGATGGTGGTCTTAAAAGCTTGTCATGTTGATTTCACAATAAACCCTTCACTTAATCCCCTAGCCCAATTTAGAATCCACACTGGGCACATCTCTTTTCAGCCTGCACCCAACATTCACTTAACCTTTTTACTGCTTTAGGTAAGTAACCAAGGAGAAGTGGCTCCCTCCTGCCACAAACACACAGAAACTCTTCTCAACTATCCAGCTACATGTTGCTCCAAATCTTCATTGCAACCAGTAGGTTGGCAAGCAAAGCAGGGTTGAATGTGCAGTAGTCCCTCCTTGCTGTGATTTGTCATGTCCTAGGCTGTTTAGGGGAGCCTAGGAGAGTGGCTGATAAGCAGGCTGTCACTGAATGCTGCTCAGTTTGAAAGGTTTTTTCCTAAAGACATTGGTTTGCAATTGGCAAACTGAATGCATGCCATAGGAGTAATACTAGGACATTGTCTCTAGTACGACTACTAGTCTCTTCAAGGTAAGCATCTTGGTTGAAACATGATCCAGCACTTAACTGCAGATGCAGGGTAAGTACAAGGAAATGAATTTCTATTAAGACCTTTAAAAAGTCATTTTATAATTGTATGAAGCACAAAGCCATTTCTTTTCTCTTTTGAAGCTGAAGGCAGCACAGCTGAATCATAAGTCCATACTCTGTTGTACAATACAGGTCCAGCTCAAAAGAGAGAAACTGTAGATCTGAGGACATGTTACCTCTCCCACTGGATGCATGATGTCAGAAGGAACAGAGAACATCCTCTAGGCCACTGCTGGGTCATAGCATCTTTCACACATGCCGCAAATAGCAGAAAGAAGACTCCCACGATCCACTACAAGAAGTAAAATTGTACAGTGATTTATTTTAAATCTAGAAATATTTTACATTTTTACATTAGTGTGCAGTTCATGATGTCTCAAAATACAGAGTGCAGATAAATGTATAAAAGTACAATGTGGGGCTAACCACAGGTCTCAGTAAAGCTACCTTAATTATTTAAGGCATTAACCCCCCCATCTTCTATTTTAAAAAGTCACATATAATTACATTCAAAAATTCTTTTATGCAATTCAGCTAACATTTATTTTTAATTAAATCTGGACTGGTAAAAATGCAGATACCCTCATTTCAGTCTGATACAGCTCACTACAAAGCCTGTGATAAGGTTGATGAGTTTCACCAGTGAAGTTTACATATTCTTTTTTACTCTCAGGAGAATTAACACATGTTCTTCATTAAAGAAGGCAGAATGATTTCTTACAGAAGGTAGTTCCAGGTCCAAGCTGGCAGCAGATGGACAGCCAGGTACATTTCTCAGTGCTGCTCAAGCCTTTCTTTTCAGCAGGAGACAAAGCTAACATTGGTTATAAACTATCATAGCACCTCTCTACATGGATGTCAGCAAGTACTGTGTGCCTTGGGAATTAAGGGAGTAGAGCTTAACTTCAAGCAACATTCTTTAAGTCTACATTCAAAAGCTTATTTGTATAAAAACAGCTTCTGTACACCATTTCAGAAAAATGGGGGAGACAAACATTAGTCGAATACATTAATGGCATGATTTACTGTGACTGACACTGCCTACGAACACTGAATACCTAAGAGGGTTCAGCAACCATCTTGAGCTGATTGTGACAGCAAGAATTTGGACAGTACCTACGTAGCTGAGCTAAGTTACCCTTAACAAACACATTGTACTGCTTTCCACCTTCTTGTCCAGCTATGAAAGAGTCAATATCAAAAAGCATAATACATCTACAATAATCTTTCTTAAAAAAGGGTAGAATCGATAAAATATTTTGTCATGAAACACTGACTATCCAATATACCTGAACATTGTAGTTGTCATAAACTATGAATTAAACTGAGAACATGCCCGCAATGTGAGGCAAAAAGCCATTATTTTGAATATCCAGCCCTTAGGCCAACAGCCAGCACATTAGTATTTCTAACACTGAATTGAACTAAAGATATTAAAGTTTCCAACCCCTTTTCTTTCTGAAGAGTCATTACTTATCCCCACTAATTGCTTAATTGCTTTTCAGCCCTAAATACTAATTAAACCAGCAAATAATATTGCTTTCTAACAAGACAGGAATGCACTCTATACTTCCATATTTCAATACAAAAACATACTGAATGTTAGTTCAGTAACTAGGATAGTTATCTGACAATATATCTGCTTTATGCTTGGAGCTCTCTATTTAACTATGGGTGTGAATTTGTTCCATTAACATTTGAAGAAAGAATATATGCAAGACAACAGAAATAATCAACTACTTTTTCATCCTTCAGCATTATACAGGAGTGAATTACACATTGACATAACTCCAGTGTTTTACCTGTAGGAACAAAGAAACACTATGGCTAAAGTTAAGAGATATTCACAGTCAAGGTTCTTTGTGCTACCCAAAACCAAAACAGCCAAAATACTACTATTCAGTTAGCTTCAGTGATAGAACAGCCCTATTGCAGGCACGTAGCCTTAGTAGTTAAACCTTCACAGCTCAGAATCATTTAAGGATGCAGAGATGTTCCGATCTGCTTTGCAGAACACACTAGGATACAGACAGACCTTGCCTTTTGTTCACTTGTTTCAAGTTTTTTGTTTTAATTATTACAAATATTCCCCTTTCTTGCGACTTCTCAGTCAGTTACCAGTGTTTACACATACTTTCACTGCAGTACTGAGCAAATGCAGGACAATATGTTGGCTAGTGAATTACAATACTCATTTATAAAACAGTAGCTACGTTCAGCTATTTTAATTCCAGTTAGTTATCCATTAGACCAACAGCCACAAGATGAACCACTTGCAGAGATTAAAAAACCCCACTATCTTCCTATGTTCAGCATATCAGTCTATTTTAGTCAGTATTCTGTTATAAAACATGAGAACTTAAGCTGACTTTTAAGCAGCATGTCTTATAACTATATATTTTTCACAAAAATATAACCTCTGCCTTTCTAAATATCTCTACAGATCTGTAGAAAACAGCGGCTCCAATCAGTCAATATGTTTTAAAGAACATTCCATAAAAATATCACATCTAAAAGATCAATATAATATTCATCTTTGGACCTAAAATTAATGCGCAGGCAAATTTTAAAAGTCTGACTAAAAAGACACAAGGATAGAAATATTTACATTATACACATTTTCCAATTACAGTGCTATTAGAAAGTGGAATGTTTGAGAATTAAAGTATTAACTCAAACCTCACAGGGCAGCTCCAGACCAGAGCGGCATCTTCATTCTGTGTATTTTTTAAACAGGAGAGATTTCTCATTAATATTAATGTTGTTTTTCATGTGTAGATTATTTCTCCGCCCAATGATCTGTAGAATTATGCTCCTGAACTACCATCATGTCCCACAAAGTCATTAACTTAAGTGTTAAATAACATTCATATTTATAACTAAGTGACAGCATGGACTGTATATACACACAACACACACACTTAAAATCTTCGATTTCATAAGGGTGATTCTAGGTAAAAAAGGTGGTTTTATGTATAAAAGTAGTTGCTAGAAAAAAAATTATCTAAAGCTTTAGAATTTAGTACTGACAAGGTCTCCATTTCTAGACCACAGAGGAAGAAAACTTGGACAATCTTTACATCAGTTATATCGGCTCACCAGCTGATAAGCATATTTTTTCAGTAATATGCCATTTCACCGGCAAAGGATGCAGCCACTGAAGTCTAGAGCTCACACATATTTATACTAGAATTGGGCAGACCTACACACGATCTCCTTGGAAAGATTACTAGATTGAAGTCCGTTTGTCCCTTGGAATTGCTCTCTCATCGTAGCCAGGTAGAGGGCACCCACTGGGGTTCTGTGTCAAGTTTGTTTATTAACCGAAGTAACTCTTGATACGCCTTATCAAGATCAGAATTCACAATTGCTGTATCAAAGTAGTGGCCATTGTTCTGTTCCATCTCCCTTGTTTTTTCTATGATTTCTCTCAGCTCTTCTGGCTGCAATCAAAAACAGAGAATTAGTGTATGTGTGTAAGCCTCTCTCCCAAAACAACCAATTAGGGACAGGTAACAACTCGGCTAGGAAAAGTCTTTTACACAAATTTTCATGGTATTGCTATCAGCTATTGAAAAGTTTACAGTAACATTGAACTATGATACATATTTGAAAGCTAAGGACACTCATGGCCAGTCAGAAAGGACAGTCTTAAGTGGCAAACAGTAAGTAACTGTCCCAGACTGAAGTAAATGAAGAAGATCTAGCACTGCTCATCTTATGACATTCATCTTACTGAGACTCTTAAATCATGTTTCCAAAAAATAAGTTAGGTTGCTAAGCCCATTATCCTTCTGAAAGAGACTGAAGATGGCAGAGAGAGCGTGGGAGAAAGTTTGAATGGTGTAGAACAAGACAACATTCCTCTGAAGATGTAGCACTACAAACATCAAGCAAAGGCAACAGCTACCATTCGTTGAAAAATATTTCAATAAATGGCAATGAGAACCACAGTGAGAGCTATACATTTAAGTTGATCAAATCACCATAGCATCAGGTAAATGACATTGCAGAAAAATGGAAAACACTATTTGAGAGCTGGAAGGGAATATGTCAAAAGCAAGAATATTGCAATGTAGATAAGTGATGCAAAGGGAGAAGTAGAAATGGTTTTACTTCAAAATTTTTTTTACACTTGTATACTAAAGGTGTGGTTTTTTTTCTCTTCTGCAGCTTATTTTTGTATTATATAAAAGAATATTCAGGTATAATTTTTGAGATAATTTTCTAAAGAGGGTATTTTCAAAAGGTACTTCAGGCTGTCAAGTTTTTTTTCCTAGGCATTATATACACTTAAGAAAATCAAAGCCACATACAGGCATACACGCAAGAAATAACCTCCTCTTTATCAGGGGAAGGGGTTTAACACAGTAGCATTTACCCAACTGAAATAAATACAAATGCAATACATTTAATCAGAAAGAAAACAGGAAATTTAACACCAATATCAGTGTATGAATTTTTATTGCAAATGAATTCCTTGATTACTGCAATAAAAAACCCAGGACACACGAGATGAAATATTTATGGAAAAAAGTTTCATTCATTGCATAACTATGAAGGAGGAAACATGCCCATTTAAAGACTATGATTATATTTCCCTGGGGGGGGGGGGGGGGAGGGGAGTGAGGGGGGTGGTGGGATGCGTGGGGAGGGGGGGTGTGAGAAAAAGAAAAATCTGTCTGTTTTAAGACTCTGGCTTTAATAGACTTTTAGATCTTGCGTCCAGGCAATACATCACCCTTGCCTCAAACAAGGAGAGCAAAACAAGACAGCCATAGAACACAGTGGGTATGATTCCTGACCAACAGCTGTATCAGGAGTCCCTTGAAGTTATGTTGGGAGGACTGTTCTCCCTCAGTATGAACTGCATGATGTTCAATTAGTACTTTGAAGATACTATGGTGCCAAAGTGCTCCCACCAACCACTGAAGGGTAGATCTCAGTTAAAAAACTGAAGATCAACATATTTCATTATCCTAGCAATAAGCACTTTGTATCTCATAAGCTGATAAGGACCTTTTCTGAGCTGTCAGACATCCTGGTTTAATGTATGGGTTTCAATTCCATTCTGCAGAACTAACTTCTCATTAACTAGATTATCTGAACTGGATAAGCTGAGATCTTGACATGACTCTGGTTGAAACAGGAAAAGTGATCCTACAACACCAAGATTAAAATAACTTTATCTGAAGAGTTTTGGAGTATATTTTCAAGTAAATGCTTTTCCAAGAGCAGATAAGTTCTCAAAAGAAAAACAATAATCATTTGCTCCCTAGAATTACTCTCAGGTTTACTTGAAGACAAAATTGGTTTTTCCACAGTTTTGAAATAAAGGGTCATGGTTTTTGTACCTAACTGCAGGGACCCCAGCTGAGACATTGTGCCCCAGGATTATTGAATTAGCAGTAGATTCCCTTGCTTCATACTGCTCACATTCCATTAGGCAAAAGCATCCTGAGCCCTTAGTTAGTATGGTCTGCCTACTAACCCGGAGTACACAGATCTCAACTACACTGCTTCCCATATATTGTCAGTACTGTTACCATCTCCCAGTTCCAAAGAAAAGAGTATATGTTTACCAAAAGCATCTCTAAATAAAAAGCAGCATGGTTTCAGAAGAAGTGTTGGACATTACCTTTGGGTTTTTCCCTTCTTTGGCCAATAAAGCACGTAATCTCTCTTGTGAAGGTGGTGCAACAAATATAATATATGGCTTCAAGTCAGAATTACGTAGTGTCTTCAGTGACTGCAGAAATAGTATTTATTTGATATTTAACAGTTTCACCCATGAAAAGGGCATTTAACGATGTATTATTCACATGCTATAATTGATAATATACTCTTCAAACAATGACAATTGTACAATATGTTAACAGCAGTATAATTAACCGTAACACTATTATCATCACCATATAGAGTTCGGTCACCATTTCCTACAAAACTGGTATTACAACATTTTTCAAGTTCATGGAACCCAAACATTTACTTTTGTTCAAGAATACCCTTCATAACTAAACTGAAGGAACATACCTTTTGGTATCCAAAAGCCGAAAAAAAAAGTCACCTGCATTGAAGTAAGTTTCCTTACAATGCTAAGGAATGGTATCAGCTTTGAACAGAGAGAAGAGTCTTTAAATACTACAGTTTAACCTTTTCTGTTTTGAAGATTAAAATACAAGGTATCAGATGCACTACTACTGTATGTTTAGCATATTTTTTTGGCAGGTTACATTTACATTAAGAGACAGGAAATAAAAAGAACCAAACTGTAGTTTGATTTTTCCAAAAGGTTCCTTGTATGTGTCTCAGGACAAACAACTCGTCTCTGAGATAGATCTTTGTAACCACAGAATTAGATCAATTTTCAAAGTGTTAGGAGTTTTCATCTCATCACATGCTTTGCAATGCCCATGAGCTATTCTAGTAAAGTATCACATGGTCCTGACTGGTGATGGCAAATTCTAGCTTCAATACTACCAAACTTTACTGGTATGTCTGAGTTTCAGGGCTTCTTTTGCAGCACCTACAACAGCAGCAGACCTCATATATGTCATATGTATTAGAAAATGGGCTGTGTTCCAGGACTCTGCCTCTTCCCACATTTGACTAAATTTCCAAGTTGAAGTCTGTATGCATATTTTCTCTTTCTTTCTCCATAAGCAAAAGGTCATAGTTAAAGAGCTTTTCAATATTGTTGATGTGATTTCCTTTAATCCTGTCTGTTATGGAACTGCATAAACATTCCCAAAATGCAGTTTCCAAGTATAATCGCAAACAACTTCCTCTCCATTTTCAAAAGCCTCAGAGTTCACAGAGTGATTGGAAGACTGAGACACACAAATCTTATTTTAATTTAATTTTCAATTCAGATAGTTCTCACCAGCTTAAAGTATCTGGAAACCAAGGCCCCTGTTACCTTTAGCACAGATACAAGACGTGTATATTTTAAAATACAGAACAAGAAGGTTGTATTCATAACACACTAAATAGAGTCAACTGAACACCACCGAAAATGGACCTTGAAAACACAGTCATTTTATATAAACCAAATACAGGTCTTTAGACTTTCACAGTAGCTTCTACAATTAAAACATGACAGGCAACAGCTTCACCATACCTGGGTATGAAGATTTAAAAGGCATATCTTGCCAGAGTTGATTACTTGCCGCACGGAGTCTATGCTAGTACCATAGAGGTTCTTTTCAAACTCTCCATATTCAATGAACTTCCCTGCAGCTATGTCACTCTCAAAGGCCTGTCGGGAAATGAAATGGTAATCCCTGCCAGCTACTTCAGTCTCTCGCCTGCTCCGAGTAGTATCTACAAACAAGAGCAACAAAAAAAAGAAATCGAGACAGTGATACACCTGTAGAACTGAAGACGCGAAATAAGCATTACCCTTAGGAGACACATTGCTAACCAAGCAAAAAAACAGGCAGATGAAATATCCAAGAAATGCAAGTATTTTATTTTTTACAATAAATATCCCTGGACAGATTAAGTTGCCAAAGGCTGAACCTACGTTTAGAGGTCTTGTTTACATTATCTAGAGGAAAAAAAAATTAGTCAACTAGGAAAGCAATAGTTTCACCTGTGCAGCTGCATTCTGGACATGAAAACAGCTATTAGTTGTTTATAACAAATTATATTGCTAAGCTGTTCGTAAACCTAATTTAGCAGACATTAAAAATACAAAATTCACTGAAATGCAAGTGGTTTGGGAAGGCACTAAAGCCACTGAAATTTAAATTTATGCAGGATATATAGGTTAAAAGTTCGACCAATGTATCAGTTTCTTTTTTAAACTTCTGTTACTCACTCCAATTTGATCCAAACTGAAATATACGCATGTCTTATAATGCCTCTATAACACTGTGTTGGGACACTGAATTTGCATTGACTTACCAAAGCCACTTTATGCCACACAAGATGTAACTTTATTTATCCTTTATCCAAGAGCTGACTATATCCTGCTCAAAACCCCCAAACTCCTAATTACTATATTCAACACAAGAGGATTTGTCTACGGACAACATTTAGCATAAGCAATCTTATCTGCCCATCAAACTTACGGGGAACTGCAGAGGCAAAGCGATCCACTTCGTTATTCATAAGTCTCTGCCGCAATTCATTTTGGCCACAGTTCTGTGGGCCGATCAGAACAATAGGCCGTTTCCTGTTTGCTGGTTGATGATACAGTGACATTTCCTCGTAGGTCAAAATTTCCTCATTGTCATAATCTTGAGAGAGAAACAATAAAATAGTCACAACATACTTTACTGCTAGTTGCACGTATTGCCTGTCATGCAGTATCAAGTTTCAGGCAGCTCCTTGCTCTCTGCCCAGCATCTAACTGCAAGTCACCAAAGCAATAGAACCCCAAAGATCATCACTTGCCCAGTAAGATGAGGCTCTTCCCCCGCCTTTTTGGAGAAAGAAAATGTATTTCCACTTACTACTGATATAAGTAGTAGCATAAACTCAGCAAACAACTTTCTTGCCAAGGAACAAGTTTCTACTACAAGAATAACACTTTATACACAACAACAACAAAAATCATCCCAATTCCGAAGTACTTTTGTAAGAATATAGTATAAATAGACTACAAACTGTCTGTGGAGAAAGTTTCCATCTACTAAATTTAGTTATGCAGAGTGAGATGATATTACAAAACCATAATAAAATGGTTCATCATTGTAAAATTATGAGTGCTTCCATGCCTAAAAAGCTATCGATTTTTTTTATCCCTATCATCTGGTCTTTAATAAAGACACTAAATGACCCTACAAATCCTGCCACCTCTTTTACATCTTTCACTAAATGTTATTACAAACCATACTACTGCTCCCACCCAGAACATCATCAGGCACTATTTCTAACATCATATCCTGAATTTCGGCATTCTTTTCACACAAGGCTATTTGTAGAATCTTTTATAGTTGCTTATAAGTGCGCACACAGTGCAAAAGATTTTGCTTACCATCATTTTTATTTGCATTGTATAAAACCTTTTTCCGTTTCTTTTTGTTTTTCTTCGCACACCAGAGTTTTCCTAACCAAAATAGAAATAATCACAATGAAATAGCCATACAGTAAAAAGCTTCCTAACCCACCCACTATCTGGATCTTTAAAGTGGAGAATTTATTCTGCAGTTTTGAAAAGGCATAATATTCTTCAGTTCATTACACCGGTTTTGTGTATTAAGCAAATGTTGCATGCCAAGGACTTCAACTGAATCATGATAGATAAAATTCTTTATGAAAAAAGGGGCTTTCCAAATTCCCATACATCATTCTAATTACATTGCACATAATTGTGAAAAAACCCACATGATTTATACAACAAAGTGCTAAATTCAGACCTGTAATTACATGAAGAATTTCAAAGAATCATCCCACTTGTAGTACAAAAAATGGAAAAATTTTCTACAACTCCACAATGACAAGGTTCCAGATACCACTATCTAGCACCTCTATATGAGATTTTTTTTCTCTTGGAAAGCATATATCCAACCTGATTTTTCTGGCTCCTTGTCTTCTTCTATGGTTTGCTTCATTGCTTCTCTCTGTTGCTGAAAACTTTTTCCTTAATGCATTTAAAAAAAAAAAAAGGCAGTTAACATTTAGAAACCATTTCAATACTTTGTAATGACTTACTCATTTTACTTTTTCCTAAGCTTTTACATCTCCGAAGGTTCTAGTAGAATATAAGAGAGATTTAAAAAGAGAAACTAAAGTTGTTGCGAAGCTTGTTTATTGCTTTGAAAATATATTCATCAAGAAAGACTTGCAGAGCATTTGTACTATTCTGGACAGTTTTGCCTGGAAAATTGAAACTATTGGAAAGATGACATTTCCCCATTATGATGATATGGTTTTCTCATTATTTTTGTATGTTAAATGTGTTCTATTTATACTAAATCTTTTGAACTTCAGCTTGAAAAACATTAGCCTGTATTTAAATCAGTGTTCCTCTTAACTTACTCAAATGTCATAAAGTAACAGTGTGATATTCTATGGAATTTGGAAAGTCTTTTGTTCACTGTGTTTAACAGATCACCAGATCTTTAATGAACTAGAGTGCAGTACATATTTCAATGCAAAAATTATATACTGACTTCAACATCTGAAAACCCTACTGCTCAAAGGCCCCCGACCGTTAGAAAGAAAGCGTGACTGTTACAAGTAACTGAAGCTGCTTGCTAAGTGAAAACTACAGAACAGCTACCATGAAAAAGACACATTTTTCAAATAGTCTATGTGATACAGTAAGAAACCTAACAGCAGCTCTCCTCTCCAGAGAAGGAACAGGCTGAAGTCCCACGTTTCTGCCACAGCCAGCAGAGGGAACTCTGAACCCACAGAGTCCCCAAGGTGGAGGAGTGAAGGAAGAGGAGAGTAGCTCAAGAGGTGAACTGCGGTGGAAGCGGTAGCTTTACTCTGCATTTAACATCTATACATGGAGATGCCTCTAAAAGGTCAACCTTTTAAGTAAGTGAATTATGTAACCAACAGTAGGCTCTGTTGCAAAAGGTTCAAAGTCACAGATATTTAAGGCAATGGATATTTAAGGATACGCGAGTCTTTGAAAACCAGAACATTGCTCCTGTGGCTATGGGAACAACTGGCTGTCAAGTTTTTTCTAGAGCTTTACTCACCAGGGATAAGGCCTGCCAATGGCTGGTTATCTTCATCTCCATCTCTGTAAGCCTGCCACCAGTTTGGATCTTCCTGGCTGATCACATGGAGTATGTCTCCTTTCTGAAAAGATAGGCCTAACTCTCGGCAGGGGACATAAGGGTCATCAGAGGGATCGTAGTCAAAATGCGCTTTCACGTGTATCTGTGGGAGATCAAATGTAAAAACAGAAGAAAAAAACCTGTGACTTCTGAAGGATTACACCCCATCTTCCTGTGATTGCAGCAGAGCTCCAATATATAAAAACTCCAAGAATCTATAAAATGGAAACTTTATCTGGGGCATACAAGAGACACTGGAATGGAATCATTATCTAGGTTAGCAATGGAAAAGACACAGTTGTGCTACGTTGGAGGTGAAGGCCTGAATTTAACTCTTGTTAATTCTAAAGTCTATGCAACTTCCTCACCATTTTAGGAGGCAAAAACCCGAGCTACTGATTTAAGTTCTTCGCATTCAAAAAGAATCAGAGAGATTCTGATTTGTTTAAAATACCTAATAAATACACAGATTGAAACCCATTTACTGGGCTTGAGGTGAAGTTTCGGTTGTAAAATATTTTACTGTGTCACCAACCATTAATGGTTTTGTTTGGCTGTCATATAAATCAGTGCATTCTTTCTTCAAACTGTTAAAGCTGTCTCAAGAAAAGTATGTTAGATAAAAAGATAATGAACAAAGTTTCCCGTATACAAACTTTTCCTTCCAAAGCCTATTTGCAAATTCCATCAATCCATTTTTCAATTTTTTTTATATATATATAAAAATAGAGAAATTGGGAATTTCAAAATAGAATTTCAGAAGCACAGGCAGTTCTACTTTTGTAATTTCTTACTATTTTAGAAACTGAAAAAAATCATGCCAAGAGCTTCACCTTAACACCATCAATAATTTTCAACAATTAGTTCAGGTGTTAGTCTGATAACAATTAAACCAATTTAAACAATTAAGTTTGGTTTTGTTCCACAGTGTAAGTAACCAACAGAAGAACTTTCTATACACTACTGGTAAAACAAAGGTATGTATCACCAAGCTCAAGGACTTATGTAGAGCTACTTACAACTGTCTCTTTCGCAGGAGGTGGCTTGCTCTGCTGACTGGGAATCAATACAAAGGTCAGAGTACCATGCATGTCAGCCTGAGACAAAAAATAGACTCTTCATATACAGCATCAAAATATGGCTCAAGGTTAAGAAATTTAATAAATAACGTATTTTAGAAAATGTTTCAAAAATTCCCATAAAAGGCAGTTGCTAACAGCACATCATCCACCCCTTAACTGGTTTAAAAGATATAGTACAGCTACAGATGCAGTGATCCAGTGACAGGCTAGAAAGCCAAATATTGATATTCAGATTTTAAAAGCCTAGCATTCTTGACCATACATAAACTATTTGTATTTGAAATGGAGCAGCTGCAATTCTGTCAAGCAGCAACTTAGGAGAAATGGAGAATAATATTCTCTTGCTCTGTACAAAAATACCAATCAGTAGATCTATGCTGGGAAGAAAAAAAATACATAAAAGATTATTATTTTTCTAAAATTGCTTAAGTGGAACAGTGTTTTCAAATCTAAACATTTTACTATGATTTTAATGCTGTTAACATAAACACTGTTTAAAAATTTAACACTCAAATCCTGCATCTGTAAAGTACTTGATATCAATATTGCAATCACTCCTACTAAGAAAGTAGAACATAATAAATGTCCTGGCTTCAAATTCTTACTTGTTTGCATACTTTTGTACACAGAGTATGCTTGCACACAAAGAATATCTAGATAAAATGCAAGTGCCAACCTGTGACAAGGTCTACATGTGTCTCACTTCCTATACATCATTCCGTAAACTGTAACACAACAATTTCTGTTGTACAAAACAAAAGCAAATGCATGTATCTCAAAAATTTCAGACCTAAGGCTTAAATAAACATAACTGAGCATAATATGATTAGGGTGCAGGAAACAAAAATCCACAATTTTTGGTCAGCATGCATAGTACTACGTGGAATGCATAGAATTTCAGAGTGATCGTGTGAATAGTCTTGTCTGAAGTCATGCAGAGTTTATTACCATTTGAGTAGCAAGTGGTGAGGCAAAATTAAGAACAAAAGTAATTTCCTTCTCCTGTTCTAAGTATTTTTGGGGGACTGAAGCATTTTAAAACTTCACTTCCACATTACAAAATGCAGAAGACAACATATAAGGAATTGAAAATATTATTTTAAATTAATGACTTTAATAATGTATTTTTTAAAAATGTAAGGTTTTTTAAATTTTTTTTTTATTTTCAGCAAGTAATTTGCTCTTATGTTAATGTATTGTGGTTTTAAAGCTTTTATTCTGTAACTTTAGGTTGCAGGAGCTGCTCAAGAGCAGAAAAAGCTCTGCAGAGAACTAAACTGCCAGAGTTGAATTGTCTGTCAAGCGTCTACAAAACACTCTTTTCAGAAGCGCAGGACTTAGCTAAATATGGTTTTTAAAAAAAATACTGATGGCAATGGAGAGAATTACAGAGCATGAGGAATCTCAAGATAGCTCTGATCCAAAAAATACACGGAGATTGAAGGCTTTTCAAGTAACTGTAAAAATCTTTTCAAATGGCTTAAAAACACACCAAACAAAACCCCACACATTTCTGCCTCTACTTCCCTCTACTTGCCCTCATTACATGCATTAGCTGAAAAATTTTAACAGCAAATTTCAGAAAAAATCCAACTAAAGATGAAAATTGTCCATTAAAAACTAGCCTTACTGTAGCATGACACAACTTCATCTATGGATATTGCTGCCTGTATGCACCCACCAGCTCCTCACTCTCCTTCCCCAGCAGGATGGGGGAGAGAATTGGAAGACCAAAAGCAAGAAAAACTCATGGGTTGAGGTAAAGACAGTTTAATAAGTGAAGGCAAAAAAACCCAACCCAACAAGTGATGCGAAGGCAATCACTCACCACCCAGTTTTTATTGCTCAGCATGATGTTATATGGCATGATATATCACTGTGGTCGATCCAGGTCAGCTGTCCCAGCTGTGTTCCCTCCCAACCTCTTGTTCACCCCCAGCCTACTTGCGGGCAGGGGACAGAGTGAGAAACAGAGGCGGCCTTGACACTGTGCAAGCACTGTTCAGCAATAGCTAAAACACTGGTGCATTATCAACACTGTTTCAGTCTAAAACTAGCCTAAAACACAGCATCATATAAGCTGCTATGAAGAAAATTACCTCCATCCCAGCCAGACACTACTACACACAGCCACACATCTATTAATTGTGGACCCAACCAGAGACAAAGATGAAAAAATCATGTCTTTTCAGAGCTAAAAAAAGTTTTTCTTAGAAATCATTAAAAGCAAGTCTCAATAAGATAGCTTGACTCTTCCACATTTGTAGGCTTCATTTTTGCAGATAACTGCCACTATACTTATTAATATCATACTATGTATTAGGAAAAAAACTTGAAATGGCCCCCCACATACAGACACTAGCTGTCAGAATGAAAATACTTTTAAACTAATGCTAAATATGAGTACAAGCAGAGCCAACAGGCTTCAGTCTTATGAAACGAGTATTTTTTTGCAGGGAAAACAAGAAGTGTCCAACTCACCAACAAGTCAAAAACTTCATTAACATCTTTTCCACGAATCTCGATGCCATTAATCTCCAGAACTTCATCCCCTTCATGTAACAGCCCACTCTTCTCTGCAGCTCCTCCTTTCACTATTCGACTAATGATAACAGAATCCATTTCATTGCGAACAGTAGCACCCTGTGTAGTAGCAACACATTCTGAATTTATTATATATATGAAACTCAAAGCCATCTATTGTATATATTCCAAGCCAGTGCAAGTAACAGCTCGGATGCATACACCCAATGCTCCACTTTAAAACACCACTTAATTTCTTCAAGCTGCACTGAAGATTGAAGAATTGAATTGCTCCACACCATAAGAGTCACGATTTAAAAAAAAAAAAAAGTATTACTAAGGAATCATTTATTTCAAAGATGCAAAATAGATAAGAGTTGCTTAAAAAAAACCGAAACAAAACCAAACATGATTGGCACAAGGCTATAAGCTCCCCTGCAGCAAAGTTTGGGATAGTGACTTCTGTCAAGACGTCCTGTCTAAACCCAAGTTGACAGAAGTTGTACAGATTTTAAATGGTAGTACAGCTACTGCTATATGAAGATACACACAACTTTACCGTCTATGACTATCTCTCATTCAGGAGGGAGGGAGAGTGTTTACAAGTTAAACATCACATCCACATTCAAATACCAAAACTTTAATAGGCATCTGCAAAGGACAAAAAAAACCCCCCAAAAACCACCAAAACAAACCACTTACCTCCTTTACGTGTAACTGAGTGAGTACCAGTACTTACCAATGGAATATCCCGAGCTTTCTCAATGCGCACTATTTTAACTGTCTCCCCTCCATACACACCAACATTCTCATAAATCTTTTCATCTGTCACAGGCTCTGGTTGCATTTCTTGTTCCGCAACCTTATCATGAGCCAGTAAAAGTGCCTAGTGTGAAACAAAATCGGCACAGTTACAGAAAATTTCATACTTTATATGTATACAAAATAGTAAAGAGTTCAATGAAATTCTGCAATTTGAATAGTCTTTGCAGGTTACAGAATAATGCAAACTGACTCAAGCAATAAAAAAAAATCATTTATCAAAGCTATGTAGCACCTACTAATTTTCCAAAACTTTCCTTTCAGATTGGAATAGAATAAAAAAGCAATTTTGAACACACAACTGTGACTGTGCTTACATCTTCTTCTTCCTAAAAAAAAAATCAGATATTGGTTTACTATGTATGTGACTGAGGATACAGACGTAAGAAGTTACTGCAATGAAAACTACTCATGAATTTACACCACCACCACAGGACAAAATTCCCTTTATGCACCCTACCATAAGCATGAAACAGCTGTCAAAGAAAAAAAAAAAACCCCACAGATAAGCAAAGCAGCTTATGTGTTGCCCTGACACTAGTGATCTATTGCTACATTGTTTATGTGCAAATTACCCTGTAATACATGTAGAATGTAGCAAGGGCTGAATACAATCATGCACTACACTTGATCAGAACTTTTCATTAGTTGCTGGAAATTGGAAACTCCTCAACCTAGAAAAATACTGAGATCTGCACGGAGTTGAAGAATAAAATCCTTCCTTGCCCAGTCAGCCCAAGACATTTGTAAAAAAAAAATTATACTGAAAACAGCATCAAGAAATACATCCATTAGATTAGAAATTTCATTTTGTTTTACCTGCATGTGAGGCGCATTCAGCAAAGCATTAAGCTCCTGCCCATCCTTATGGTGACTGGGTTTCAAAACACTCTGTACCTAAAAAGAAATCAAGTAGTAAAACTCTTAATCTAACTAGTGATTTATCAACCCTCCCTCCCCAGGCACAAGCCCCTAGTTGCAATTATTCATTTTACTGAAAGTAAAGTATATCCATGCAGTTGTTACGCTGGCTGATTGAACTTCATCCGGTACACATTAGGAAAACATGCCATGAGACCACAGGACTACTCCAGCATATCTTGCCTCAGTAATCACCTACCAAATCTAAGCTGGTATCCAGTGCATCACACAGCTATGTCAATACCAGAGACTGGCAACGAGCTCAGCTACCACAAAGATGCACACAAAAAAATTAAATTCTAGAAAGGAACATGATAGTGAAATCAGTCACAACAAAGTCTACTGTGTGAATATGCTGGGTCTTTTAAAATGAACTCATTTGTCACTAAGATGACTAGTCTCCCTTTTCCTTAAAAAATGGTTTTCCTTAAAAGATGGTTTATTTCTCCCCAAACTATTTCCACCAACAGCAAGACCAAAGATTCCAAGACAGGTTTTGCAATGCCTCAGAAAGCGTACAAGTCAAAACTTCAAAAGGTCCCAGAAAACCAGGTTTCTTAGGCTGGTTCCAAAATAATCCACATTAACACAAAGACAGTTTTTTACTCAAGCAGCTTCAGTTGCTAAAAAAGGTTTGCCTTCTCATACAGTTACCAGACATGCCTTGCCATCATCTCTTGCAAATACTGGTATGCTTATAGAGAAAGCCAGGAGCAGGGAAGTCCCTCTTCTCTAAAGGTGAGGCTGAAGAAGATACTTTCCATAGCCTTTATCCTCTGGCCTAATCTGACCAAAGGCACACAAGTCCAAAAGCACAAATTAATCCAGAGACATCAAGAGTAGATTATACACATCTCACAGCAGCAGCTCAGTGGGACAGAAAAGATTTTTTTCAAGAGCTTTTTACTCTTAAGGATGAGGTAATGTGACATAACAGAGAATCAAGAAACCACAAGTTCCAAGGTGAAAATAATGAAGCTTTTTGTATGATTTAACAATATCTAAAGGTCTGAAGAACCTCTATCCTAGGAGCAATTATCTACAGAAACACTAACAACTCTCTTGGATGCTACTAGGTGACAGTACCAAAACCAGTAAAGATAATTTTAAATTCTAGCAGAAGCCACTAAATGAACTGTTCCCATGGAGCAAGATCTTCACATTGCCAATCAAGCACTGTCACATGGAACAAGTTCCCGAGCTTAGCAATAAACCTGGCACAAGCTCCATATCCTTCTGACATCCCTAGAACATGCCTCATGGTGAACAAACCTAGTATAGCTTAGAAAAGTCAAACAAGAAGCCAGATTTAAATAATTTTTTAAACTGATTTCTTTAAAACCATAGAGAACAGAAAGAATTGAGCTTCATAGAGGCCTGACTTCAGTTATACCTCTGAACTGGCCAGGAAGCTATTATCCCCAGCTTAGCCTGAATTTTGGGATGCCATACAGCAGACAGAGCGCTGTATAGGATATATTTCACTAACAAATTTTCCTCTGTGTTGAAAGAAGAGATTCTCCTATACAAAAGACTTTCTCATAGAGGTTTACTTAAGGTCTCTAACTTAAAAAGGACTTTCAACTCCTTTCTTGAATAAGCTACAATAAGCTTTAAAGCCTTATTTATCCAATCTTTATGATCCTTTTACAGAGGAGAACCTACGTAGAAAGCAACTTAGAGGTCCTGCAAGCAAGACAATCTTTTGAATACAAGGTCAGAATTTGGGCATTTGACAGGGGAAGAGAAAGCAACCAGGCCCAACCAGTCATTCTGTGTGTGTGATGAATATCCTTTATTCAAGTTGAATTTCTGCTTTGAATAATTTAATTATTCAAAACTTTAATAGCCCTCCCCCCCTTAGGAGAAAGATACTTTTATTATTTTTTTTTACTTAATGAAGCACTAGGAAAGCTTCAGGCTGCTATATATATCACTTATTATACCAGTATTGCCACATATTAGATTCCTTCGTAACTCATGGTAATGAATCCCACAGTTACATCAGATGAAGAAATCTGAATATAGGCTGTCATTCCAGAAGTGACACACTGCAGATGTAGGCAATCTATGCTAAATATGCAGCAATAATAGCATTTTCTTAACTCTTCAGCCTAGTTTTTATTGTTAATCACATTAACTTTAGTTCAAGCAGCCCCCAAAAAGCTATCAATTTGGTTTCATCTCACACACCACAATTTGGAGGCATGTATTGGGGAGGCACACACTTGGAGTGACATTAAGCATTCAGAATTTAACCACACCTGCAAAATCCTGTTGCTGTTTACTCTCAGGTGAGCAGGACTGTCAGAGGGATATACATACACATTGTAATGCACTTATACCAGAAGTTAAAAGCTTTCAGTGCATCCTCTCAAAAGTACTGATCTAGTTTAATCGCCTGTACTTGCTGAAGTGAACAGCAGCAAGTCCAAAACCTTTAGAAACATAGCCTGTAAAAACTGAGCCTATTACATATGTTTAATAGCAAGAACATCTTTAAGGTATTTGATGTGTGCTGTTACAGGCCAAAAATTACAAACCGTCTTGAATGCTGCAACAAATATTATTACAAGGTCAAGATTCAGACCATGTTCCCATAATCCTTGCCCCCATCTTGGCCAAGTTTAAATGGATTTAAAATCAATTTAATTACACTTGATGTTTGCTGGCTATTTTTATTTAAGACTTGGAGTATACCACATTACATGAAGATTAGCTCTCTAAAATAAATTCCCTAAGCTCAAGTACTTCATTCCACCTTCTAAATTCAATTAAAGTTTCTTTAAAAAAAAAAAAAAAAAAAGAGAGGAAAAATCTTGAGTTGTTGGTGCCCGGTTATCAGAATCAGTGGGAAAAGTTAACTGTACAAGTGTACTACTAATTTTAAGAATTTCCTAAAGAGGACTAGAAAAATAAAAATGTACTGTTCCACTTGTGTTGTTTATGGTTAAAAAAGTAAAAATCAAGAAAGTTTTCACAACACACTGTTCATACTCGTTTTTATAAAAGCAAATCAATTAAAGAGTAAATGTAAACAGATTTTTTTAAGTTCAGTGTAGCAAATGATAATTCCTCCCAAACACACTTCCATAAGTGTAGTTTAATTAATACAGATTTTTACTTTTTTTTAAAAGGGAAGTTGTTTCATGTTGCAATATGAAATTGTGTTGCAAACTGTCTATTCCCGTTAGAGCTACAGAAGCATGAGCTCTAGAACAGGTTCTCCTCCACACCATAAAGCCTCAAACAAAACATGTCTGTAGCTTTAAATTAGGACATGCACTCCAAAACTGAGTTGTACACTGCCACTGATGAATTGTGCACTAAAATATGCACATTAGCATTACCTACCATTTAAAAATTAATGTTATGCATGTATCTACTATTATTTTCTTGTAATGTCTTGTGGCTTTTATCCTCAAGATGTTAGCAGTATCTTAAATCCAGGCTTTTCTAAGTGTCTTTTCAAAAACACCCTGAACTAAGTAAACAAACTGCTTTCTGGGGCAGCTTCCCATGCCTATGTTTAGGGATGGAAAAAGCAAAAGGCACAACCAAAAATGACAGTACAAGAAAAAACCTGGGCAGGCAAGATAGACACTTTGTCAGGGTTAAAAAAAAACCCCAAACCAACAAAGTAGAAATAATTTCCTCCCATACTGCTACCACAGCAAATGTAGGAGCCTTTCCAAAAGGAATAAAGGATCTGAAAAATGAGCATAAGATCTTCTATTCAGGCAAGACCAGGACATACAGAATGATGTGAATGGAGGCCTCAAGGTGTTCCTCTCAGGACACTTCTGTCAGTCACAGAAATATTTTTCCTGAATTTCTGGCTCGATCATTTCAGGATGCTATTTAACATATTGCAAAATACAAGTCATTTAAATACATCAGAAGCTGAATCACTGACAAACTAGATTACATCTGAAAATGGGAACAGACATATGCAATATAATGACTTTTCAGGAATTTTAAGGCTGGACAAGACAGGGATAGGAGATGAAGAATCAAAACAAGTGCAAGAATATGTTTGCCTTTTATGTAATAGTTATGTAATAGGGCGACGACAAAATTCCATTGGTTTAAAAATTTGAGATTAAAGAAGTATTTTCTTTATGCTTAACCTTCTTCATGGATTGCTAAGGGACACAAAACTGGCTTTGCACCACATTCTGATTTCTGGATTTACCAAATCACCTGAAAAAAGAGAGGAATGTGTTGGGAAGATGAGGAATAGGGAAGGTGGGGAGGAATATGAAATTTTGAAAACAGACTTAGATTTTTCCTAAGCATATTTTCTTCTTGGAAACTTCTATTAAGCAGCAAATAAAACGACATCATATCCATGAAGGGGAAAAAAAGCTTTCTTAAGAGATAAATCTGTAACATCCTGTAGTAGAAATGAAGATTCAAAAACTCTGGGGCTTGTATCTGAATGAAATCCCGAACTAAGCCTGTGCAAAGCGGGTGTTTGGGGAAGTAGTTTACAAACAGAAGTTAAGTGAAAAGGTTCCTTCAGGCTTGCAGACATCGAAGAAGCCTAGTGAGGATCCTACAGCAGCCTACAGGCTGATGAATAAGCCAGAGGGAAGCTCATATGTAAAATGCTCCCACCAGGTTTTGACACAGTCTTACTGACAAGCGTAAACAGGAAAATCCTGAGCTGCAATTTAATCAGCACACTGCAGCTTTAGATAACATTTAAATGATGTCCCTCAAGAATCAGTAATTTCTTCTGCAAAAGAACTTCAAGCTTGCTACAATGCTGTTTTCCTTGACTTACAAGGTTTAAGTCTAGAAAAAGGAAGGAGAGTGGAAAGAACTGTTGAAAAGAATTGCTTCAGGCAGAAAGAAAACCAGACACTGGAAAAAAAAAATCAACTTGCTGCCATACTGAAATTGGAGTGATATGCCTTTGAGTGACTGGAGAATGGCTATATACTGGCTCAGGTACTCCAACTGGTGTAGCTGAGCCAGTTTTGAACAGGTAAGTTTGGTTCACCGGGTGCTAAATGCTAGAGCATTTACCCATCCTCTGGATCCAGCTTTGCTGAACACTACAGTGCTACACTTGCAGTGACTGATACTGGTATTCAAGCTAGCCAGTTTAAACTTAACAAATATATATCCATATAAGGTGTAGCCACACTTCACTGAAATATACATGCACCAGGCCATGGAAAATGAAGATAAAGTTATTGAGCAACCCCTCAGAGGGTCTTAGCTGCATCCAGCCACATGTGAAAACTCCTTCTGTTCACAGCAACTTTGTATCTGATGAGTTTTCTGTAAATTACTACTAATGCTTACTGTATACAGGTACTGCCCATGTACATTCAAGTGAATAAGCCTCAGATAAAGTAGTTAACCTGGCTGAAACTGTGAAAGTATTTCAAACAGTTAAGATCTGACTGAAAAGATCAAAGTTAAAAAAATCTTGCTCAAATAAATTTCTAAAAGTATACTTTAATAATTTCTGAAAGACCTATCAGATCTTATAAAAGAGCTGTCATCTGTCAGACAAAAAATAAGTGTAATCTGACCATCACAGCAGTAATTAAAACACTGAAATTAAGTATTAAGGGATCTGTTGCTCACTTTAGAGCAGAATGCTTGTTTCCAGTATGGTTGTATTTTCAGAGATGCCTCCCAATTTAAGAACCATGGCTCAACTCAGAGGAAAGTCACAATAACAGAGAACTGTAATTCAATTCCTGAATGTTTGGAATAAAGAATATTGAAGGTAAAAGAGTTAGATTTTCATAACAGCTCCCTTTTCCTACATTTAAACATAGTACCTTTTCTGTTACATATCTATCTATGCTAAAAAGGGAGTTCTTATCCCCCAAATATTTTTCTGGTTACTGTTTGGAAATCTGGAAAAACCGGATACAGCAATCAGTGACTATTATAATCCCTTTCATATTCAACATTCAATAACTCAGACAAGCTTGACAAGCACATATTTCAACAACAGCTATGATTACAGGTTTCATATATATCACAGAGATGCATACTGTACATACCTCTTGTGCTAGTTCTTGTGCATTGGAGATGAGAGGATATGGCGGGCTAGCTTTGTTCATGTGCACTGTAACAGCATTGTGTATCTTAAATGCATTCTGAAAATCAGTATTTTGAACAAGCTGTAAAATGAGAGAGATATCCTCTTGGCTCTGAGGGTCTACCAAAATGTGCTGGATATGCTTAAGAGAAGTTAAGAGTTCTTCCACTTCTAGGTAGGAAATAACAAAATACAAATAAGGTACGAGTTAACAAGATTCATAATAATGTTTATCATTATTAATGTTTTTACCAAAATTTTTTTTGCTGTTCTGTTTTTTAATCAGCAATGATGTATGCAAGTTTATTAGTTATCCATTACTCACTTTTATTAGAATATCTCTGAATCCAAAATAAAGGACCCCAAGTCAGTAAAAGGAGAAATAAGAAAAGCTGATACACTGTTTAAATTTAAATTCTTATTGCAGCAGTTCTTCTCTGAAAAAAATCACCAATATGTAAAAGATCCAGTAATTGCAGCTCATGTATAGCTAAATGTGAAAGAGAAACTATTCTGCGATATGAAAATAACTCCTTTGCTAAACTAATCTTGATGCACTGAACATTCACTGTTATTTTGATACCTATTTCCATGTATATCTACCACATATGGCATATATCTCTCTCAACTAAACATTGCTTACTTATAGAATGAGTGTTGGATAAGTAAACTACACAATTTCTGAACATAAAATTATGCTTAGTCTTAGCACATTAAAATAAAAAGGATGAAAAAAATATCTATGGTCAGAGTTCTGAAAGTCATCTGCACCAGAAGAATGTCTACATCTTTTACCTACAAGATTATAAGTTCTGCTTGGAGCATAAAATGTTTTAACATATTTTAATAACCAGTTTCTACATTTGCAGAATGCTATACATGTACTACATTCTTGAGCTTCAAGAACTAATCTGATGCTTTACTGGTGCTTTTTAAAGACTGTCAACAAATTTACATTTTTTTAAACCAATCTGAATTTCTGCAAAGTATGTCATTTCTCAATATTAAGTACTTGAGAAACTACCTAAAGCAAGGAATATGAATAATACTTATAATGCATATAAAACCAAATAAGAAATCCTCAAGCATACAAAAAAAAAGTGGATGTTTTGAGCCTGAAATAATGTATGTGTTCCCACACATTATCTGAAAAAATCTGTTCAGCCACAAGAGGCTGGTCAGCTGTCTTTTATTTTAATAAAGTCAAGTAGGCTAGAATTTTGAATCCTGTTTTTTTTTTTTTTTTTAAAAGAATGAACAACAAAGAAAATCCTGCATTTTAAAACTGTCAGTTGATACTGAGGTCAATCTTCCTTACTGGTATCAAAATATCAGCTTTGAGAATTATTTTTAAGTTTTAGTGACCTTAATTTATTCATTATGAGCTAATTAAACAACATTAAAATAGGAATGCTATCAAGACATCAGCTAAGTTCCATTTTTTACATGAAAAAACTCACAGTAGATACTGATCATTAACATGGATACATTCTGCCAAGAAGTTTCCTTTACCTATTTTTTTTTAACCTCAAATTCACCAGTACCATGAACACAATGTTAGACTCCAACTTGAGTGCAAGATTAAAATGGTTGATAAATGGGCACATGAAAAACACAAAGCTTAAAATACACATTTCAAACAAGTTTAATGGTTTTAATTTCAGACAAACCATGCCTACATATATGTTTAATTTAGAGTCTGCAAGTCAGTCTTCTGTATAATAAAAGGAAACAAACAATCCAGAGCTACTACTCTCGTACTTCATGGTCTGCAGGACAACAACAAAAAAAACAACAAAAAAACCCCAGACCAAAAAACCCCTCCAAACCCATTCTACACATGCTAAAAACATCCTACCCTCCAAGGGTCAAGGGCTTCTTCCTGTAACCACTGAGGAAACTAAGGGTAGTAGTATAAAAGTGGCATGGACAGCTCGGATACCGGCTGCGCAGGATATTCCACAGGTGAAATCCAGTACAGCTCACAACACTAATTAACCCGGCCAATGTCTCACTAGGGAACTGTATGCACAATATACTGCCTATCACGCAGGGGAAATGCCATTTGGAGAGAAGGCTAAAGAACATTCTGCAAGCAAGAATATTTGCTAAACAGGATGATGTCAGCTGGTAAAATTCTTATCTAGTGGAGTATGCAGACTACCAAAGCATCTCAGCAACTGATTCCCCCAAGTATGAGGAAGTGCACTATTTTCAAGCATTAAAAAAGAAGTATAAACCAGTCAGATGTTATTGTAAAGTTCCTACTGATACCTGCTCAGTTAAAAAACCACACCAACCCCAAATTCTGCTATTTGTTACTGTTACTGGATTCAAAAAACAGTGAGGCATTAGAAAAGAACCTCACTTCTTCTAACTCTTCCTATGCATAAATTATTTTATTTCATTATTTCTGAATTGTCTATCCCCCCTTATATATCCAAGCATTCAAACACATACACACACAGAATTCTAATACATATTCCATATAAGATATAAATACATATAGGAGGATAGACATCGTATTCTGTACCTATAATGAAGATGTCCTGTTCCTAGATGCCTCTACATATTCTCTCTCCAGCACTTTGCTAGTTCCTTCCGTGTCACCCTTTCTTACAAAGTATCACTGCACTCTCCTTCCCGTATAATTCCCTTCTACGCTGAATCTTCATCGGTGCTGGATGCAAAAGCTCTATACCAAATGATTTCCCCCCCACCATGAAACAGCAAACAAGTACCCCCTCATCATGATTCTAAATAATGCTTGAAAGGAGTGAAATAAAATATTCCTCAAAAGCTAACAATCCATTTATGGTTGTTAGTAAAACAACCATACACATAAACCCACATACAAATCTGGCTTTACGCATGCCTAATTCTCTCTAGGTTCCTATTTCTGAATTCTAAACCACAGATCAGTGCAGGGTTTTTTTGTTTGGTTTTGGTCTTTTAAAAAAAAATTTTAAAATGCCAGGTAACAAGAGACTCCATCTCTAGACATTTCCTATTGAACAGGTTGTCTTGAGGAAAAAAGTTCAGTAAAAGACTAACATCTGCATTTACTCACAGAAAAAAGTCAGGGTTCTTTTGCAGAGCAAGTCCATTTTTTAATCGCAGATCAATTAGCAATCGACTACTTTTTTTAAAGTCTTCTTTTACAAGAAGTGTTGCAGCCTTTTTTCCATTAGGCTATGAAATGGCTGGAATGTGACTGAGCACTGTGCGATATACACATTAATCAAAAGACTGCCAGGGCAAAAGTATGCAACTGCAGGGGAGGACCCCTGGTCATAGCTTAACATGTGAGATTAGAAAAAGAAAAGAAAATAGTTTCTGTTTATCACCTTAAACAAAAAGTTATGAACAGCAAACTTCAGAAGAGATAATTGGCTTTATTATATGTATATCTTAATTCCCAAGCTTTTTTTATAGATCTCTAGGGTATTCTGTGTGCTGGTACTAGCACTCTAATGCTCCATATATTACTTGAATCACAGGGCTGAGAAAAGTATTGTTTTATCCAAAACTATTTCTGAGAGTCTATTTATATTTATAACATATTTATAAGTAAGTTTTGCCCAAGGCAAAAATAGGCAGCTTGTCCCCTAAAAAAAAAAATTTCACTGTAGACAGAAAAGGTTTACTTACATGAAATGCCAGTTACTTGTTCTAAATTAGCTGAATGAACTGTAGCAAACAAAAAAAATTCTGCATTTTATAGAAGTATACTGCTGTGAAAAAGCCAGTTAAATACTTATATGCACATGTTCTAGGTACACAGAAAGTAATTTCCATTAAGACAGCTGTCTAAATCATACACTGTTTTGATAACAAACATGCCCTTTTAAATTGTTTTGATTAAGTGTCCTGTTTTATTTTTATAAATAAAATCCAATTTGTTTAATCTAGTCTGCTTTTTGGTGGTTTTGTTTTGTTTTTTTTAAAGATGAAAAGATTAAAGGCTTGGCAAAGATCTGCCAAATTAGACATTGGCACTTATGAAACATTTTCAAAACTAAAAATACAATCAGGTCAATATTCTTATTTAAAACACATATATTTAGCAGAGGCTCTATGGATTAACACACACAAAAAAATCCACAAAAAAGCAAAACCAAAAATCAGTATTTAAAAAAAGTTGAATAAGGGTAGTTTAACATCTCCATAATTCACTAGCACCTGCCCAGGTTTATCTGGGGTTCTCCTAACAAAGCTTTGTGAAAGTGACTAAGCACGCTCACCTGGACAGCAAAAGTGGAAAGATGGAAAGAGTCAGGAGCAGTGTAGATCAGAAATTCAGTATTACCAAACAGACAAACTGCAAAAAAAATCATGTACTAGCAGTTATTTTTTGGACAAAGTCATGGGCTAGCAACTTTCTTGAAGACCAAAAAGTTGAATATCTAAAAATTTTTTAAAAATCTAGCCTCTCCAATTCAGGTATTAAATAAAAAAGCAGAAGTATTAATGATAATGGACTCAAATCCTCTCTATGAAACCATATTTTTTTTGTAAGTGTGCATGTGTGTATATATATAGATAGATTCATAAGGCAACATCCCTAGCCCTGATACTAATCAGGAACACACAGCTTTCATAATAATAAAAAAAAATCTTCGTTTGAAATTCAGCATTACTGTCAGATGTTAGAATGACTAATCCAGAAACCGGAAAAAGGACATGCTTTATGTGGAGGAAAATTTTGGAAGAGGCTGAGTTACTGCAGAAGCACTTTGTTGAATTTAAAATTATGACTCAGTTTTTGAGAGCACTAGTGACTGAACCGAGATTCATTACGGACTATATAGGTTAAGAGATCACAACATTTCATTTAGAACATTTTTTTTAAGTTTGCAAAAACTCAACATCACAGTTGAGTATAACTGAAAGCACCACTCTTAACAGGAGTGCTAAACTATTATAAATCCTCTCTTCTTAAGTCCACCTGATCCAAACTGTTACTATAATTCTGTCTGGCAAGGAAATAACAGTAGTATGTTTGTATGCCTGTCAATATTATGTCATGACTTCGATTGAAATAGATGCCTATGAAGCCTTAAGTCAGCTCCCTGGTGCACCTATGGATATATCATGATTTAGTCTAATTACATCTCCTAAAGCTCCTTGCCTTTCCAGCTCAAAGAACAGACCATATTCACTTAGTAAGCTAGTCAATACTTCTGCTCTATACACATAGTTTTAAGCCTTATTTACTGCAATTCAGTCCAGAGACAGACGTTGTTAGTTTCCTGATTTTTCATGGTATCGAAACACTGAGGGGAATAGCTTTAGTTAAATCATACAATGTACTATACTGTGTTTTTCCAGAAGTACGCTGACAGCAGAACAATGACAAGACCCAAACTTCAACTGCAAAAGTGAAGAGGAGTTTGTCCTCACGGACAAAATAATCTAGTCATTTTCCTTCAACATGCATCTTGTACCATATATTGCTATTTCTTAATTTACCTGTTTCCACATACAAACCTCTATATTCTTGTCTCCAGTGTTTGGTGTCTTTCTTCTTACATCAAGTATTCACACAATCCTAGCTTCCATTCACACCAATTTCCCCCCCCTTCTTCTTGCTGAGCCAAACTTATAGGTTCTTCCTTGCAGCTTTTCACAAATATTGTCTTTCTCTGACAATCTCTCAGCCTTCCCCACAGCCTGTATCCATTTTACCCCCACACTGAGAGATTTACAAAACAGCCTTTCATCATTACACTAATTTCTCCACCACTGTCTCTCCTGTTCAAACAGCTTCAGTCTACCCCACCTCCTTACTGGTTCTCAGGCTTGTCAGACCCATTCTTGTTACTAATTTCTCATTTCCTACCAGCTTCCATGCCTAACTTCTTTGCCCATAGGTTTCCACCCAGCCCTCCCTCCAAGTTCTCAGCATCTCTGGCATGAGACCTAGCCTCAGCTTTCTAATTCCAAGTCACTCTCCTCCCTTCTGTAGTTCCAATTTCCAATTCCTCCTGCAGTCAGTCTTCAGAGCTTTTAGCCCTGTGGCTAAGCAAGTCCCAACAGAAGTCACTTCTACTCTTGACGTCAATCTTTGCATCCTCTGCTTTGTGTTCCCTCTAAGAAGAGATTTTCATAATCAACTTTATGAAGTGTTAGATATTTAAGTACAGAATCTGCTTCTTACAAAGATATCTCTTGGACAGAAGCTGACAAGCCCTGCACTAAAACAAGGTACACCTGCCTTGTTTGTAACTGACCCTGCTTTCAGCAGGAGGTTGGCAGGATGACTTCCTGATGACCCTTTCAACTTAAATTTTCCTAAAGAGGGATTTGTACAATAAGGATTACCAGAGGTTACGGAATAGAGACACGTCTTTAGCAGAAGTGTTGCTCGGGCACACAATTACGAAAGATGAAGCAAAAAAAAAAAAATTAGCAATTTGATAGCTATTTTTCACTCTGTTCTCAACTACCAGCCAATAGCAAAGAATAGCAAGAATCTTTAGTGCAGCACAAAAAAAAAAGGCACCTTTTTAAAGCAGTCTGAATCTCAGAAAAGGTATAGATTTAGAAATCTGAACTGGACTCCTACAAATTCCCAGTGCCTCTTTTTCACTCCAGTGACACACCACATTTTAGATAAACAGATACTTATGTTTGAGGAAGGAAGGCTAGAAACTTTTTCTACACCAGCATAGTTAAAGCAATGACAGTTACGAAATGAACAATTTCAGAATCTATTTCTTCAAAAATTACTAACATTACATTTTTGTCAATGTCTAAGTGCCAAGGTAAGCAGATTTTCACCATCAATGCCAACACTTTAAGAGCAAATGTAAATTATATTAGGTGACAATTGATAATGCAAGATAGCCAGAATAAGAAGAAACCACCAGCATGCTTCTTTTTAAAATATTTAAAAAACCTCTTGTGTTTTGATTTTAAATGACAATAAGCATTTATTCATTGCTTATTCTGGTCTGTGCTTCATCAAACATACTTGCATGGTTTTCCCCAGCCTTAAAGAGGATGGAGAATCCACTGAATTCATTAGTTATCTACAGGGCATTTAACTGTTCCCCAAATGGATTGGTTTTGAAAAGCCACTTGCTGGGGCACATAGCCTGATGCTTGACTAAAATAAAAAAAACCCCAAACCACCACAAATCCAGAGGACCAGAAGACTTTAAAACTGTATAGGAAGAATTAGCTAAATTAGGATTTCAGTAGCATAAAAGAACATTAATATCAACTAAATAGTTTCTCCATTAGCCCATTCATTGTATTTTACCTACCTAGTGTCTTCACAGCATAATGAGGACTCTCCAAAACAATTCCTTCTTCTGTGTCAAATATTGGATTATCTATTCCAGTTTTAGGAGGAATTTGTGCTAGTTTCTTTAGCCTCATGGAAGCAGTAAGGTCCAGTTCTTGTTTCTTTCCTTCTTCTTCCCGTCTCCGCCTTATGTCTTCCTGCTGCTGACGGATTCGCTCAAGTTGAGCGCTCCGACGCATGGGCATCATCCTGGAGCCCAAATCCCCAGGGCAATCAACAGCCATTTCTCTGTGCTTCTGAGGTTCCTCAGGAGATGCAAGATCCACATTTTTTGCTTCACTGTCAGAATCTTCTGTGATATGTCCATTCATATGAGAAGTTGTCATGATTATTTGTAATTATGATTATTCTCTTCAAACAGAAATGCTGCTATTAGGCCAGTTTTCGTTATGACATTGCGTAAAATCCATTATAACTTCAAAAATATTTCCCTTCCATCACAAGACAGTTGAAGAGACATCCAGGAAGAAAATCTAATGAAAGATATTCAGAAGAAGTTAGTGAATAACTGCATTAGTAAGAAATACCTAAGACAGTTCTCCAGGTCCCCAGGCATCAGAACAACAGAACTTCTCCACGTTTACATGGTGCTTCTTCCCCTACTAAGAACTACAGAACCCTCACAAATCTGTTTCGCACACTTTAGTAAACTTCAGGTGCCAATGTTAGAAAAGGAGTACTGTTCAAAGTAATGCTAGTCTCTTACATTTCCCAGTCAAAGCAGTGGAGATTGTGCACTTAACACACACAATTGCAAATCAGCAGTGTTCTGAAAGTTCCCACTCATTTTAATTTATCCTTTCATTCTTAAAAATTCCAACACAAACCATGTCTACTATCCTACAAACACTAAATGTGAATAACTTGTTATAAACATGTTCACAAGAAGTTTAGCAAGTTAAACGTAAAGATGTTTGCATTCATTGTTGATAAATGGAGGCATTTTTATGTAAACACTGCTTCCCACGTTCAGAAAAGACAGGTCTGGCATAGAGTTCTTCCAAAAGATACTATCTAAAGCAGTCTGGAGCTGCACTTACAATTCCAAGTAAGCATAAAGTCCTAGAATAAGGGTTGGACAGTTCTAATTAGTGGCTACTCTTAATACTTCCTATAGGTATGCATTAAAGCAGAAAGTATTAAATACAAGAGTAAAAGTCCTCGTGTGGGTGTACAGAGGTATAGATTTGACAGAGAAAAAGAATTAATTTCCACTGTCAAGTAGAGACATTCCACTATACTCCTTACACCTTAATCTGGTTTCTCATTCCTGATGATTCAAGCTAAAGAACTTAAGTGTCCTGATAAATATAACCACTTGGCTCTTAAATATAATACTTATAACAATGTGTTTTATACCACATTGCCTTTCTGTATCACAAAGCCAATGATACGTTATGCTCAATAAGTCCAATTGAAAGGTCAGAAAATTAATAGTTGTGTACAGTATTACCAATACACTTAATTTTTCAAGTTCCTTTTTATTTTTTTTTTTAATTTACTGAAAGGAAATACTACAAAATCTCTCAAAGTTTTACTATACACTAGAAGCACCAAGACAAAAAAAAACCCCAAACCCCCAGACTTTCTCTTAAACCAAATGTTTGTGTCTGGAGGAGGAAGGGAAAGATGCTTATGTTGTAATTAAGTTGAAACTTAAATATCAATAGCAGTGTTTTGGAGGAGCAGCAATAGAAACTCCTACACAAGTTTCTGCCAGCTTGCAATTCTAAGTACAGCTTTTCATTCTCATAAGGAGTAGCATACAGCTACATACGGCAACACCAAAACAATTCCCTTTACTTGCTTCCTGTCTAGCCACTACTACCAGTTATTACTAAGATCTTCCATGAAGTAAATATTAAAGCATTTCTATGGTAGTAAAAATTCTTTTTTGCCTTTAAAAAAATACTTAATTGCACTGCACTGATATGTAAAAATTATTTCAATGTGCAACATTCCCACATTCAGACAAAAATCAGGCAACAAAAAAAGCCCAAAGCTGCACAGTAGTGGGGCTAGCACTGCAAGTACCACACAATTATTTGGCACCTGTGAAACTTTGTTAGTGCCCAACTTAAAAAAACCAGCTTTTCCAAGAATAAAGTAACATAGAGTTAGCATTCAGACAGGGTTATGTAAAGCACCAGATCAAAAAACAGTCTCTGAAATTCAGAGAAAGGCAGATAACAGTTTAGCAAAATGATCCTCAGAAAGCCACATTTCCCCTTCTGTAAAGGCAACTTCACTGTACAGAAATACCAATCCCAAAAAAAGAAGTCTCATTGGGTACAATAAAATTGCAAAGAGTACTAATTTAACTGCAGGGAAAAGATAATTCAAATTCTCTTTCATCCACATAGTACTGGCCATAGCTTGTCTGAAGACTGAGCTTTTTGAAAGTTACCTTCATCTTTTTTCAACTCTGACAAGCTGAAAGAAAATTCACATTCCTCAGTCCGTATGGTACAACTAACAGGTGTCAAAACAATTTGAGGGAATGAGTAATATCCATTTACTCAGCACTAAAGAAGTCAAAACCACTATCTGAGGATATGCAAGTAAAATACAGCTTTAAAAATACCATCATATCACTTAATCACGTGTAAGCTAAATAATGTCACACTTGCTAAAGAATCTACACATCAGAAAATGAAGTTGATGGCCAATATTTAATAACTAATCAAAAATATTTAAGGTGGGATTAGCTACATTTCCTCCATCAAATTTAAAAGTACCAGCTACCCAAGACAAAGAGCATCTTTTGAGGTTAAGTCAGAAAAAGGGCACAACAAAAACTCATGTATCTGTATGTAGAATGAGAAGTTTTAAAATCTCTTCAGTTCAGTCATAAGCACTGAAGACCAGAGAAACAAAAATATAGTCCAAGGTAAATACAAGTAAAAGGCAATCACTAGTAACATTGCTTACATGTTCAGTATAAGCTCCATGCAAGATGCAAAGGGCATATAAATTCTTGGAACAGAGTAACCCAGATATTTAAGTGGCCTGTGATAATAGCTGCTCACTTTCAGTGTTTAACATCTGAGTTAAGTCAGTTAAAGAAACGAAAGTTACAGAAAATGAGAGTTCTCCTGCAGTCACACTTTAACAGCAATATTCAGAACACTGGCATCAAAATTTAAGAGAGTATTAGGACAATTTTAAAAAGAAAGTATTTTTGATATCCCAGAAAGTTAGGTGTCTCTGAAGCAAGCAATAAACAGTACAGGCAAAGTAATCACACTCAGATAATAGAAAAGATGATACAAAATATCACTTATCAGGCAGCCTAAAATTTGATGTTACCGAAACATCAAATTGCCTCCACAAAAACCCGACCCCCCAGATCTAACTAGCTGGTAATCCATAAAAGCACAGGCATGCTGCAAGTCTGGAATGCTGCAACAACTTCCTTTAATCAAAGAACTTCTGATAACAGGTGACCCTTTCCAAATCTAGGCCCACTGTTCTTTCTGCTGTCTCAAGTCTGCTTCAGACACCACAAATTCTGATCTCCAACGGTTTTGGAAAAATGCTACTGCCCAACTGCAACAAATGAAACAAGAACGTAAGGAAAAAATTCAGATCAGCTCTGAAGTCCCTCTCTACAATGGTTCTAAGGAATTTAAAATGTAAAATATGAGACCGCTAAAATGTTAACTCTGTCCTCAAATTAAGGTGTGGTGTAAGCTGAGGTTAAAAATGAGATTCAGCTTCAGGCAGGCACCAGGAATAGAAAATTTTATTCTAACCAATAAGCATGGCATCAAAAGTCTTATGATGAATAATTTCAGAAACAGTTTTCTTGGCTTTTCTTTCTGAAGGTTTCTTTGGCAATTTTAAAAATCCCAAGATAACAACAATAAGGAAAGGTTGTTATACCAAATCTGTTCTCTGTGAGTTGTGGATTATCCAACAAACCAGCTTTTCAGCCCAAGAGGAGACTACATTGTTACATTAATTCTTATACCAAGGAAGAAAATTTACAGGCATACTCAATAGTATTGATTTCTACTACATCATATGTAAAATATATAGCATAATATTTGAAATTAACAGAATTTTTTTCCACTTTAGAACTCAGTATTAGCAGTTCCTATACTCTTTAGATATGTACAAATCTCTTGTGTTACACAGAGTTTGGCTGCTCAAAGTTTAATATGGTTAAATTGTGGCTTTGACTGTCTTCCTTTTAACTGCCAATATCTAATAGGGGAACCTTAGCATTTCCACGTGACACACAGATCTTTCCAAATAAAGCAGATTTAAGGCTGTTTTCTGTCCAACTTCCTATCACAAGTCTTACCAATATGGTCCTGCAGAACACATGTGAAAGTTTCTTCTTCACAGATTACTTTTACTATTCAAATTTTTGCCCTACAGAGAAGCATTTGTATAAACTGCTAACATAAGTACAACTATTGAGAAAGAGCATTTCAGTCACTTGGATCACCATCAGGCATCACACAAGAATTTCACTGTGAAGCAATTATGAACAGCAAACAAACCAGATTTCTGGTGCAAGTTCAAAACAGCAAAATTCAAGAAAAAAACCCCACAACTACTGTCTGGCTAACTATACTTACTATTGTCAAAAATACTGTATTTTACAAGCCACACATCATTCTTCATACTGACCCCTAACAATGTCAAGCTTTTATCATCTCCAACTACCCTGAATACACTAAACAAAGTGCATACCCCAAAAGCTCTGTCAAAGAATAAACATGCACACCAAGATGATTGCATTTATGTAAGACAGATGCTAGAATAAAATACATACTGACAGGGACAGAAACAGAAGTGCTGTAAGGTGGTTTAGGTTTTCACTTGCTTCCTGAGGACTGTGGCTGGTGTGCACAGCAATCCTAATTGCTTTAACAACTAAATTCTGTACAGTAAAATTAAATCTGTTTTGCTTCAACAACTTCCAAAGAGCAGAAATGACATTTTCTGGAGGCTGAGGTTTTGTGTTACATTTTGGTGGTGTTTAAAATCCTTTCAATGCTAGAAGTATGATTAGACTTGATAGTTCTGTTTTTAAAATTCATTAAAGCTGCAAATTCTAAATGACTGCAAGGGAGTTCAGCACTCACCTCCAACTGAATTTCATTAGTTTTGGCACAGTTGAGAGTATAAAAGCCCAACCTACATCTGTGATTATATTATGAACACAAATACATATTTAACATCAGGGACAGTGCAAAGGATTTACCATCAGCTGAAAGCCATATACTATGACAGACATTGTATATTAAAATATTCATTAAAAACAACTGGAGGGGGAATTATAGTTTGCTGAGTTGAATTAGAAGTTAGGTTAAAATCACATACAAGATGCTTCCTGATATCTGAATTACTAAGAAAATATGAGCATAAAATTATGCTAGAGGTCTCTACCACGTGTTATTAATGGCTCACATAATGGTGGGTCTTCTGGTATTTTTACTCAGTACTTCAGATTTCTACG